ACAAATATGATCAACTATTTTAAATACATATCTAAAAATTATTCTATTTTTATATCCCTGAATCAAGAACAGCAAGACAATCTGGAAAACGTCCAAAAATAAGGTAATATAAATATTTTTATAATATTTATTTCATATTATAGAATTTAAACATCTTTATTTATCTTAACACTTATATTTACAAGCATTTTTCTCATTTTTATATTTGCAGCAGAAACAAATGAAATGCTCAAGAAACACAACAACGTTGTATTTTATTTTGTACAATCTGTATATATATATATATATTAGAAATAATACTACTATATATATCTATGTAAATATGTTTGTACAAATTTTATATCTATCATATAATACAACACTGTATAATATATGTATATATATAAATACATTTTAAATACAGATATCATATAATATAATATTGTACCTCGCAGCAACGCGTGGAATACAGACTCGTGTATTACTAAAATAGCATGAAAAAGATCCTTGACCAATAGAATTTTATTAAGAAATTAAGCTACCTTATTGATATATATTTCATTTCAAACAAAATTTTACCAAAAATTAAACAGAATAACTTGTAAAATTTTAAAAATTTAGTAACATTAAAGAAACTCAAAACAACAACAAAAATTTGATAAAAAAATAAATTAAGTCTGAAAATCCAAAAATAATTTTTCTTTTTTTAAAAGTTTTTGTTTATTAATACTTAAGAAAATTATTAACATAGATTATTAGGGGCAATCTCAATATTTTAAAAAATATGATTTGTTAAGCGATTACTTATGTATAATTCCTAAAAACTGAAATATACTTGTTAGGTAGAACTCGTTTTATGAAGAAAATAAAGAGAGGATTTTAGTGTAGGCAAATTAAAGAAAAAATTTATTTAAGAGTACAAATGAAAAGAATAGTATTTGAGGGGGCTAGTAGAATATTTAATTAAGATAAATATTTATACATACCATGTTTAGAAATAAAATTTTGAAGACCGTAAAAAACTATTTAAGTAAAAGATATATCTGAGAAAAGTTATTTGAATATAACATATTCGAGAAAAATTATTCTACTGGAACACATTTAAATGTATGAGATTAAAGGACATAAATGTACAAAAGTAACATCCTATTTAAAAAAAAAAATAAGATTTGAATAAAGACAAATCAAATAGAAATCGTATTAGGGGATAAATACAATAAGGGCAACGATGCTCCAACAAAACCGCATTTGAGAAAAAACTATTTTAGTGATGACGTTAGAAAAAAAAAAGGGTATTTTTTAAAGCAATACTTGATAAAATGACTTTTTAATTGATTGCGGGAAATAGACTTTAGTGGAAACATGGTTGAGGAAAAACATATTTCAATGGGGCAATTTAGAAGAAAAAAGAATTCCAATGAAGCATTTAAAAATATAAAATTTTAGGGGGAAAGGGAAAATAGAGAAAAGATAAAAATAAAAAAACAAAAGACAATGGAACGTTTCATTTTTTTTCTTTCTAAGAAAAGAAGCAGAAAACAGCAAAAATATAAACATGCAAAAGGAATGAGTAGTTAAAAAACAAAAGAAATATGGTACAAATAGGAGATAAATTAATTATGAGAGAATAATATTTGAGAGTGTTGTAATAAAATAAAAAAAGAAGTTTAAATAAGTTAAGTACTTATAAATACCACGTTTGAAGAAACTAATATTTTTATACTGCAATACAAAATATTTAAGTAGAGAGGCACATTTGACAAAACTTTTTAATAGAGCAATAAATAAAAAGAAAAATATATATTTAAATGAGGCACATATAGAAGCGTAAGATTTTATTTTCTTTTAAAAAAAATAGACTTACCAAAAAACATGCTTTAATCAGAGCGTATGTTTCAATCCCATATTATAGATATAAAGACAAATGTGACATACTTAAGGAAAAAATATTTTAATGAGGGCAAATTAATGGAAAAATTATTATGGGATACATGAAAGAAGAAAAAAGTATTAAATAGGGGTACATTAAAAAAATAAAAAATAAAAAACAATTCCAACGGACTAAATTGACGAAGAATAAATTGACAATTTTTTTGAACAGTGCCAAAGGAAGCTGTCATTTATAAGATGGTAATGCATATATAAATATATACTAGTTAAAAATGCATGCGCACGTGACTCATTTAACATAACAATTATACAAATCGCTAAAAAAAGAGAAGAAAAAAGAAATGATAAAAAGAAGACAAAAGCAGAAAAAAATATAAAGTAAAAACATGAGAAAAAGGAAAAAAAAAAAAAAACTTAACAAAAAGAATTGGTATGAAATGTTTCGCAATTGAAGCTCTAATTTATGAGGATTGCAGGAAAAAAATGTTTATGTAAATACATATTTGAGAAAAAAATAATTTAACAGGGTAACTAAGAAAAAATAATATTTTAAATAACTGCAGAAAAAAGTATTTAAAGGGGTTATAATAAAAAATATGTAAAAATTAAAGGTTAAAAGATGAATAAAAAAAGATAAGGGAGGAAAAAGAAAAAAAAAAGAAAAAGAAAAACTTAAAAAAAAAACTAAAAAGAAAAAAGCATATGTAAAAATTAAAGGTTAAAAGATGAATAAAAAAAGATAAGGGAGGAAAAAGAAAAAAAAAAAGAAAAAGAAAAACTTAAAAAAAAAACTAAAAAGAAAAAAGGAAAAGAGACAGACAACGAAATGTGGGGGCAACCAAATGGCCCCACAAAAAAACGAATTCTCTCTTTTAAGGAGAGAAACATGCATTACATACATGTATATATGTATATGTATATATATATATATATATAGTGAGGGAGAGAAATTAATAGTGGGTTTTAAGAAAAGTTGTATACAAAAACCAAGAAAGAGAGCGCAGTGTCAAATTATCAATGTAAAAATACGCAAAAGGACAGAAAGAATAACTTAATCAAATTTTTGAATAGTGGAGCCCTTTATATAATAGTAATATATTTTGGATTTGGTTTCATTTATATTTATAATTAGTTATTATGAACAATTATTTTGGTTAAATGATATCTTTAAATTGTTAATTGGTAAGGAAAATGAACTTCCAATCCGATTCAAATTCAAATCCAATTGAATTGGATGCGACATGAAAGAGAAGTCAATGGATTAAAGAGCATGCTTTCCTTTCTTTGTGTTTACCTAGCTTTGGTCTCTTTTTTAGAGGGTGCTGCTCGTTTGACTCGTTAGGATGGAGGGAAAAGAAATAAAAAATAACAAATAAAAAGGGAGATTATTTGGTACGCGTGGTGTATCGATAAATTAGACTTTTCTAGGCGTTATATCTACGTACTTTTAACTTTTACGTTATTTTATGCAGATCTGACAAACTAAAAATCTGACCTACCGGTATGTTGACGTACCGGAGAATGTCCTGGATAAAAAACACAAAGGAATAGAGTTACTTTGTTTCCTAGTGTATGGGTTTAATGAATGGGCCAATGAGCTTTCTTCTCTAGACTTTTGGTTATGGCTTTTGGTAATTTGCATTGGATTTATTTAAGGGAGAAAGAGGGAAATAGGCCAAGACTTGAGATGAATTAAAATTAATAGGCCAATAGTTTACATAAGTTAATAAATAGGCTAAATTACTGTTTTCGTCCATAACTTGTCTAGTTATAAACCATAACTTTACAAGTTATTGTCCATAATTGTCCATAACTTGTCTGATTATGAACCATAACTTGACAAGTTTGTCCATAACTTATCTGGTTATGAACCATAACTTGACAAGTTATGGCCTATTAATTTCTATAACTAAAAATTAACCTATATACTTTCTTAAATTTTTCATATTGGCATATTTTTTACTATTTTCCTTTATTTAATTTCTTTCATAACCCCGTGTTATTTTAATTTCACATAGACCTATGGCCTTCTAAGTGTGCCGAGGGCCTAATTGGACTAAATAAAATGAGCCCGTTTACGTTTTTTAGGCCAGTACCTAGAGGTTTCTGAAACGTGACTTGGGCCCACTTGTCATGCTTGAAGTTGTGTCGCGAAATTTAAACTGGACCAGTACTTTATGAAATTTAGACTGGGCCAGTACCTTATGAAATTTAGACTGGGCCGCTGACGGTGAAATCCATATCTGCCTAAATTGGTCTAAAATTCTGTTGGCAAGTGATATCATCAAAATAGCTAGAAGCAAAACCATCATGGAGGGAATACAACAATTGTGTAGCCGAGCCAGTGGTCGCCTTAATTCTTTATTCCCCGCCACGCTACTTGCATTTTTTTTTACTCCCTCATAGAGTAACTTCAATAATGAGCATCCTCTACTTGCCAGAATAATGCATTTCTTATTCTGAACTAATTCAAAAACAACCTATGAAAGTGGTTATTATATTACTTACTCCATTTAAACATTGATGATCAAACTTTAACAGAGTTTCTCCATTTAAAAAAAAAATCCATCAGAGTGTGTTAGGGTCAAAATCAACACCACAATTATCACCGTACATATGGACAACATTTAGAAAAAGAGGTCAACTCAGATCGACTAAAATCAGCTAAAAGTAAAATCGACTTGAAGCGATTAGAGAAACTTGATGACAAGAGACATGCGGGAATACCATAGATATTTTAGGAAAGAAGGATTCTTGAAGACTATGAAATCCAGCCCAACCGAATGACGCATTAAAGACGAGAATTGAAGGGGAAATTAAGAAAGGGAAAGTTAACTAAGAAAAAGGTAAACTATCCAATTCAAGAGAAAAGGAAAGTAGAAGATCTTCTCCTATAAATAAGAGATGGAGATCACGAATCAAACATCTTCTAATCCCCCTCTTTATGCTCAGACTCTCTCTCTCTAAATTCCCTTCTCCCTTCTCTAAAATTCTAATACTTCATTGTAAATGTAATTTTTTCAAGATATAGTAAAGCCCCAAGACCCTACAGTGGACGTACCTTGGGATTATCAGAGAAACTGCCATAAATTCATGTGTTCATTTATTTTTCTACACTTTACATTCTCATTCCAGTAGTATATCGACTCGAATCGACCTGAAAATTTAAGACTCGTGTGTTAGAAATCCCGAAATTGACCTTTTAGGAGTCCAAAACAGTGAAAACCAAAGCTATCCAGAATTGACAATTTTGAACAGTTTTTATAAAATTCTGGACAGTTTTATAAAAACGCCTAAACACACATTTTAGAGATAGAATTGAGATTTTTCATTGTCACAAAGAAATGTTTAAAACATAAAGATCTACAACTTTTATGAAATATAATTTTTCTCAATTTGGACTCTAAATGCTTCAATTTTTAAGTCGAAGTGGATTGAAATTTTTAAACCATAAACAGAAACTTGACAACTTAAAATTTACACCATTTAGCTTCAAGAAATGAACATGCATGACTTAGATCAAGCTTTAACCACACTAAACTACAACTATAGACCATAAAATACAAATAAAAAATCATAGATCTAACACAAAAACCCATTGAATGTAAAGATCTAACCATAAAAACACAAACTTTGCTCTTAAGAATGGAAAGATCAAATTTTTGTATGATGAACCTTACCTCGAATCTTAGTAGAGGATGGTTTTGATCACAACAAGAAAAGGTCCTACAAAGACATGAACTTTTTCAAAGAAAGCTTGAAACTTTGATAAATTAAAAGGAAAAAATGGAGTAAGAACATGAATTTTACCCTTAAATGTGTTAGGAGAAATCAACACACCTTCTTCTTCTTGTTCTTCTAGATTATGGTTTGAAGACTTTGTGTGAGAGAAAAAATAAGAAAAATTTTAGAGAGAGAGGCTTGAGAGGGTTTGACCAAACAAGAAAAAGAGAGAAGGAAAGTGGAGAAAAATAGAGAGAAATGAGAGAAAAATTTGCTAAGTTTTAATTTGGACTTATTTATAGACTTTAGGTTAATTACACTTAGCCTTAATCTTAACATTTCTAGTTACACTCAAATTAGCTAATCCTTGGTTTAATCCCACTAAGGTAGGCGCCACATGTAAGAAGGAGAAGAGAATATTTCACACCTCAAAAGACATACTAACCCACATCAAATCAAAGTCAACCATTTTCTAATCTTTGTCTCCCACTAATTTTACTACACTAACAAATTCTGTGTTGTTAGTAATTTCTACATTAGTTTTCTGACAGTTTTCAGTCCACTATTTAAAATCACGGTCTAACACTATTCTCAGAAGAAACCAATACTGTTTAAGATTTTAAATCGCATAAATAATTCGGATTGTCTTAAAACTTTTTAAAAAATTTGTTTTAGAATAAAATAAAATCTGAGTTTAACATACTTGAATTAATTTCTTTGTAAGACGTAATAATCAACCATGTCGATTTTCGAGTCTGATTTTACGGTTTTATCGAAAACACGACTAGCGTAACATCGATTTTACTAATTGACAATTAATGAGTTCTATAAATGTTAGAGTGTTTTTCATATCACTACTAACACTGTACAGTATTCAGATTTTCTTATAATAGAATTGCGAGTCATATTCGGATCGAAATTTCTCCCATCTTAAATCGCGATGAGGGTCATCGACCGGGTCATAGCATAACATAATTTTAACATAAAACTTTTATATAGAATTATGGAATATTTCATAAATCCTTCATTACAAAAACACATCATTTCTCGGGAAAATCCTTGATTTAATTACATGAATAATACTAATTAATTCTAAGATTTTTTCAGTCATTACATTAAATTCCGTTACACGAATAATATTTGAACAAAGATCAGAGAGCTGACCTCTGTGTGGAATAAGCAGAGTTAGAGAGAGAAAAATGGAAGCTTGATATACAGGAAGAAAGAGAAGTGAAATTTATAAAGGTTTTTTTTATAGAAAAATTTAAAGAAAGGGTGTTCCTGCCAAAATAAAGTTTTGGACTTGCAACCTCAACTCGACATGGCCCAAACACTTAAGTTGGCCAAGGAGGGCTGGGTCGGCCAATGGTGTCGGGCCTCGGCCCTGTCCGTTTGGCCCGACCCAAACTTTCACCTCTAGGCTCTGCTCACTAGTCATAAATGAAACATCTATGCGATAAACTGCTATTTACTTCATATAGTTTTAAAATCTTTTATTTACTTAATTTAGTTTCATAAATCTACTATTTATTACATTCTCTCGTTACGGTATTTAGTAAATCATGCATTTGTCTAGTAACTTCTAAAAACTGCTGTCATATAAAAGAATTTGAGAAACATGTCAATAGTTGTTTTTACACAGCTGTTTTTGTTGTCAATGTAAAATACCCTTAATAAGAAAACATAAATCTCTATGTACTTACTTTTTTCTGACCAATTAAAAAATTTATATGTTTAAGTATTAATTTAAAAATTGACAATCTTTTTTTTATATAATAAGAGGGGGGGAATGCTTAAATAGGGCTTAAGGTGACTCGAATCTTCAACCATAATAGAAGGATTTACAACCAATAAGACTGCTCTCACTTGTTTTAAATTTGACAATCTTTAATAAGTATATTATGCAAAATTTTACTCAAATTTTTTTATATTATCAAAATGTTTAAAAATAATAACAAAAAATAAGAAATTTAGTAATTTATTTCTTATAAATGTTTTAGATAATTAATTAATTGTATATTTTTTAGTATTTTAGTGTAAAAATATTAATGAATATTGACATTAAAAAATATAAATAAGACTAACTAAAAATATGTGTGCTAAAGTATGTCTATATTAGTCATTACACATCTTCACAACAACTTTATATATAATTTAGCAAAGACCTAATTTTCTCCTTCTGGTATTTACAGCAACTTTAAAAAAAAATTACCAAACACCTACATGCTTCTGGTCATATCAACTTCTAACTAACAACACAACAATAACAAAAATTTTCTATCACACAAAGGCACAAACTAAAACTAAAATTGTGCCTTTTATAGAACACTCGAAAAAAATCCATACTTTTACCATTTACATGCAAGGGCGGGGACACATGGTGCGGAGTGACATTAATATTCTCATATATGCCCCCATGAATTTTATTATTTTTCCTCATTTTATTCTTAGATTTCATTTATAAACAAGTTTACTCATTTTCCTCACGAGCAATTGTAATGCCTTTTATGGTATCTTATAATTTTACTAGATCACATTCAGATGATCACATTTTAAATTTATGTTAAATTTACATTTCTTTAATTTGAGCTTGATTTTGACAATGAAAAGGACGTGAGTATTCTAAACATTTTATAATTCTTTTTTGTAATTATTTTATTTTATTGATGGCGTCAATTAGGATCTATTATGTAGTTAAATTGACCGTTGATTAAGAAAATATAAGAATGGAGCATAATTTTGAAATCAGAAACTATAAATGTGAAAAATATAAAATATAAGGTATGGGTTTTTTATCTCCTCAAAATGCAAGATATTGAAATGAAAAAAAAAATCTATGGTAGAATATTCTTATTAGTAATGCATAGTTTTAAACGCTAAATTGATCAAAATTACATCAAAATAAAAGAGGTAAACAAAACTAACATCTTTTTATATATAAAAAAATCTAAAGTTTCCACACAAAACCCTATAGTGGGATATTTTTTCATATAATAAAATTCACAATATGTACCTAATAGTTCTTACAAAATATTATAATATATATTTTTATGTTATTTATGTTTTAGAAAAAAATATATATATAGACCCGTCCTATTAGAATAAAATGCTAGCTCCGCCACTGATTACTTGCATACCTTGTATAATAAAGCTGATAATAATCCGCCTTGATTTAGAAAGTAGAATGCGGATAGAATAATGAGAAAACCAAAATTAAAGAAAAAGAAAGATATTCCGGAGGAACAAAAGAAAAAAGCTCGAGAATTTTGAGGGAATTTCAAAATTAGGGTTAAGATTGAGAAAGTATTATTATTTGTGGCTACGAAACAGTATAGTGTCGCACGCTTAAACTGATAAATGCTCGATTAGTTGTTTTGGTTGTAGAAGCGTCAATCTCATGCGTTTAAAGTGCGCTAAAACGCTTGACTTATATTAATTGGCATGATATTGTCTGCCAAAACGCTTGAGTTTTATTAATTGGCATGAGCAGCTTAGTTGTAATTGTATGAGGTTCCTCTCACGTTTTAATTAGAGGCTTTATAGCTTTTAGCGTAATGGTTTCAAAATTGTTTTTTGTGACAACTTTGATCTTTGAATTTTTGATTTTGGCTAAAACATCGTCCAACCTTAAAATAATTTGTATTTTGTACATTTACCCTCTAAATTTGAAGTATATACAGCTTACTTCCTAAACTTTTAATTTCGACAATTTACTCTCCAACTTGTAAAATGATTATAGTGTGCCGCATTTTACTAATTTTACTCTGATTTTTATTAGATTTAAGGGATTCAAATTTAAAAAATTGAGAGATTTATGTTTACAGTTTGAATTAAGATAGAATTTTTCATGGAACGTGCTTTTTTAAGGTCAATTCAGCATAATCATTATTAAAATGAGACTCATTGTAATACTTTTTTAAGTTGGGATGACAAATTGTTAAAATTAGAAGTTCTAGAGCAATTCGCTAAAACTCTGCAAGTTTAAAGAACAAATATGCAAAATACACTAGAATGATTGTAAAATGACCAGAATCAACTCTTAAAATTTAAAATTAAATTACTTTGTACCTGAAAGAAAGGGATATAATAATTACAAAGCATATGATTTTATTAAGATGCAAAACTATTAAACGCGTATTACTAATAATTAATTATAACATATTTGAATAAGAAAGCATAACTACAAAATATATATTATAAATTACATACATTATGATTTATGATAATCATAATCTATAAATTCAATCGCATGATAAATTATTAAATTTACTAAATTGACAAGATGGAAATGAAATAAATAAAAATAAAGCTTTTGGGCTTTGGTCTTGGAATATCAGAAAAGGGGTATAAACATTATAAAAAATACCAATATCAATGTGGTGTGTTTGGTTGGGTGGAAAGGAAATAAATAGAATAGAATGGAATTCAAGTTTGATGTTTGGTTGGATTGATAAAAAAAGGAATAATCATTTAAAAGAAATGACCATTCACCTATTTTGAGTAAATCATCATTCCTTCCTCACATGGGAGGAATAGCCATTCTAAGTTATTTTACTTGTTTTTTTTTCATAATTGCTCATCAATATTATAATATAATTAAAATATATTATATAGTAGTTATATCTTATAATATGTAATATAATATAATATACAATAAAAAATATTATAATATAATATAGTTATAATAATATAATAATTAATTTATAATATATTATAATATATTGATTTAATATTTTATAATAATA